TTTTCATAAGTAATAGATGAATCTTTTCTGCAGCCTTTGAGCAGCAACTTGGAGGGAGGAACCCCTTTAGAGTTCCAAGGAAGCCGATCCCCTAAAGAGATCAACCCCAAGTTTAGAATCTGCAAGGGTTCTATCACGTATATCTCTTAATCCCTGCAGATCTCTATGAGAGGGTGAAGGAGGTCAAGTGTCCTCTTTAGCGGTGATCCACACAATAAGGTTGCGACGATGCTATTCAAAACTCCAAGTCTGCTATCTGAGGAGAAGTATAGGAGAATAAGAGAGGCAACCCAAAAAGGCTCTAGCCTATGAACCATTGATTCCCTCCTATTTATAGAGGTCTCCTGTTAACTTAACCCTAATGGATCTTGCCCTATTGGATATTGGATCTTCATCCAACAACCCAAGCATCTTAGATTAGTGTATATCTATCCAATAATCTCTTATTGGATCTTATTAGATCTCGTCCATATGATTCAATAATTCAGGGGCTTATTGGATATCCAATAAGATAGGAGCTCCAACAAATATTTTATATCCGAAACTCTACTCATCGCAACGCCTACCATATGTGTGTGACCTTCTAGACCCAATATCGAGTTGGCCGTGAGTCATACCTGTTGGAACTCCTTCTAGCATAGTAAATTACTATCTCTATAATAATTCACTCGACTCATCGACTGCAGATGTACTAGGTCACTACGTCACAGTCCATAGACGATACAAAAGAATCAAATCCATTGGACCTATCTGTCCTCAGTTACCATGTACCTATAGTCACTCATTCATCTAATATCCCAAAGACCGTATACCGGGTATGGTGCTGTCAGACCCATTCGGTTTCTACTCGAGTCTCGCTCTAATCGAATTCTCCCAAAGAACTCTTTCTCTCAATTTAAATGACACTAGCTAGGGATTTGTTTGAATAAGAACACATGAGTAGGGATTTGTTTGAATAAGAACACATGAGATATTTTTCTCATGATACCGAGAGTGGATGATCCTCTATTGATACTCAATAGTACTTATAAGGTTGGCTACCACTCTCGATGATCGGTTGTGCTAGATTTGGAACCTACAGACCTATAAGTCTAGTATCAAAGGGTGGAGTACTCATACGGGATATCCTTGGTATCTCAAGTCTAAGGACTAGATACACCATTTGAATTACGGAATCGTTGGCTAACAATGAGGCATAATCAACCATCCAATATTTCGTAAGCAGATAAATCAGTGAACTCATTCTCTAATGAGCACTTGTACTGTATCCATAGTGTCCCCACACGAGCAGCTATGAGACCAGCTACATCCATCATATGGACGAGTATACAGTACACTAGTCTGTCCGGTTATCTCAATATCCTTCTCGAGTAACCTATTATCGGGATTATTTAGGATTTATGTTTAAAAGCAAATTGATTTCATTATTGTGATCTCATCACGATTTGATTCCCATTGCACAGATCTATGGATATCACAATATATTCAAGCAACAAATAAAATATCAAATAATAATAATAAGCAAAAAGACTACGTGTTAAGTCACACGTGTCATCACTCATATGATTAGATTATAAGATTAGTTCCTAGCATGAATGAGGACCATCATGACACTAGGTTAATTCCTATTCAAAACTATGTAATTGATGTTTATCCTCTTTAAATCACATCTTCACACATGTGCAATGAAAATGCCCACCTGGAGAGTTGGAATGGTTAAGGGATTCAAGATGTGATTGTCATTTGTTGTGTGCCAAAAGAACAATGGTTTCCCTGCAATGGTTCCATATCCTTGGTTCATAATGTTAGCCTATCACTCAGAAATTACAATTCAGCTAATCTGATACAGCAGCCAGAATAGCTCCCATTCATGATGTTAGCCAATCTTTCAGCAATTACAATTCAACTAATCTGATATAGCAGCCAGAATAGCTCCTACTGATAAGTTGTCAGACTAATTTCTTTGGCCAACACCTACAAGATAAGGTACATAAAGGTGAAACATGAGCTAACAACCTTGTTTGGCAGTAAATTGTGCAGACAAGATTCACATAAAAAGGTGCCAAACATAAACCTCAACTCACTGGTCATATTTGAGAACCTAAAGGAACAAAGAGGAGAAACTTCTTGGACCTTGCCATTCAACTTATCTTTTATTTGTTGACAAGATGAATAATACCATTATATACAATGGCATGATATCCTCATTCAAGTACAATATTTCCAAATCCAAAAGAGATCATGATGTGTGAACTCCATTATTTCACCCTCCTCACACTCTTGAACATTATGGGGGGACAAATGACATGTTCTTTCTCTTAAACAAAACAGATCATACAATACAACACAAGCAAAAGAAGATACAAGAGCTACATTGACAAAAGGAATCATACTTCAAACTGAATCAACCCCTTCCACCTGCTGCTGCTGAGCAAGATATCGTTCTCTTCTTTCTTTCTGAAAATAAAAAGGAAGGGAACTGGAAAAAATGCTCATTTGAAAGTAGAAAATGCATAGAAGCCAAATAGCAAGGAAAAAGAGTATTACCCATTCATCGATAACCAGTCCTCCAACAATCCGAGGACTTGTGTCTTCAGGGGGCTTCTTGCGTGCCTCCAGTGCGGCCTCAGCCTCAGCCAGTTGCCTCTTCAGCTTCTCCATTTGCTTCAAAAAAGTATATTGCAATTTACACCACAAGTCATCTACTAGTCCATGATAAGAACAATTACTGTGTGTGCGATTGGCTTACAGGGCAGGGGTGATCTGGGTCCAGGAAGACAACCCTCAGAATTTGCTCTACTGCAACCTGATCTTTCTGCTCATCAAACTGTTGAACAGGTATATAACAGCAATAGCTTCACATGACATTTTGGCACAGAAACAGAAAAAGCTGATGAACATTTGCAGGTTTGACATTAAGTTAATAAAATGAGAAGTCAAGATGCCTATTACAAAGCATCATTCTCATCGAGCACTTTTGAGAAGCTCCGGTACTCTCATAGAATTTTCAACATACTCAACAGAATTCTGAAACAAAAAGAACTTTTGGATGGACAAACAGTTCTGTGTTCTATACACCTGTGTGATAAAAAATGAAAATATAAAAAATATACTCAAATTGAACACACTATTCACTTATGAAATAGGTAGATGATATTTCTCATGATAAAGTTTGTAATATAAAGTCCATAAGTTTATCACATATCTGTGCACTTAAATAATTGCATTACTTCACATTGTTCACATTTATTTTTCCATGTTACACCAAGATTTGCTGAAATATGAATTTGTTAGATAACTAGAAGGGGCTCCGAACATAGTGTATCACTAGAAAACTAAAATAGCTAATAAGTTAGTAGAGATATCCTCCATGGTGTGGAAGAGCATAGAATTTCAACATAACCATGGATGCTTTTTTTTTTCTTGATTTCAACATAACCACACATTTGAAGCAACAGTGGAAAAAAAATTGAATGATAGAATCCTCTGGAAGAGTTGCTCTAGAAAAAGATATTCTGTATTAAACTTTTAATAGACTGGTGAAATGAGAACCAAAATGGATTAAGCCATATCCAGTTAAAACCAGCCAAATTTTCATATTTAA